AAATTCCGGCTTAATTTTTATAAATTTTACGCGGAATTAATTCTTAGTTCGTCGATTGCGACTAAACATTGATATTAATTACCCAAGTGTGTGAAATTTGCAATCTAAACTTAGCATTCGGCAATTAAACACAACAATTGGAGTTAATTAATTTTAAGGTAATTAGGTACCGAAACGTTTAGTTCGAAATTCCTTAAAAAAGTATAAAATAGGATCACAAGACGGTAATCTAGGCGTTAATTAATGTATAATTAGACCTATTGTTTAAAATAAATTAATTGGGGATCCTAATTTGAACGAATTCATATCTAGAAGGTATAATTACACAAGTTACATAAATAATTAATATTGCATCAATACAATAACATGTAATTAGACTAATTACACGGGTATTACTTAGTGTATAACCGCCATATGCCATATGAATATTAAATCAATTTTAATCCGCTAATAATTAAATGTAATTAAACATCACAATTACATCAAATTATTCGAAATTCCGTAAAACATTAAAACAGAAAGCTAATTCAGCTAATTAGACTAATCAATTTTCAGTACTTTCATGCTCTAATTAATCAAAAGCTGTACCTTGACCGGATCCATACGGCGTAGATGGCACTCGCGGGTTTTATAAAACGTCTAATAAATTAATTTTTAATTATTACGCACCGTATTAATTTATTTAGCCCTAATTAAATAAGTTGAGCAAATAATTACGTACGTAGGGTGCGCGTAATTTAGCCAAATTATTGAAACTTCTCAAAACTTGCAACACATACGCAAAATTAGTTTTAATTAGGTGTCGTGAACTGGCTTAAGTAATTAAAAGAATTAAGTATGCGCTATATCACTCTTACTGTGGCACATATAACCTAAAATTAGGAATTTATTAATAAAAATTACGCACAGTATTCATTAATATAGCCCGCTGAGATAATTTAAGCAATTAATTACACAGACTTCAATCTCAAAATTTATCGTTGCATATTTTGTTTATATCAATACTAATGCTCTTAATTATGCGAAATTACACGATAACAT